TTCTTTCTAGTAATTTGATTTTTGTGAAAGTGTAGTTTTTGCAAATCTTTAAAAAAATCCATGAAAATTACAGCCCTTGAAAAAAAGGCACCCTACAGTATTAATTAATTAATTTTTATTCAATTATTTTTATTTATTTTTAAAAATTACTATAGAGGTATTAAGCCTTCATTGGGGCATGATAAAGAAGCAAGTGAGAGTGAGATATTAGATGCTTTGAGACTATCAAAAGAACCAATGCATATAACACATTTATTTAATGTATGCAGCTTTCATCATAGGTAAGACAAGCCACACATAATTTCATATCATATCTCGTAATTTTCCTTTGGTGCATATCTCCTTCCTTTTCATCTTTTGTCCTTCTATTATGAATATGTTACTTTTGTATTTCTTCTCTCCCCCCTCTCTCTCTTTCTCTCACTCTTTTCTTTTCTGTAGACTCCCAGGATTAGTTAACATTGGTTTAGCATCAGTATATCCTAATTTACCAGAATATACTGACATAATACCGCCAACTTTTGAAGTAATAGGAGACTTGGCACACGTGTAAGAATTGACAATGTAACATGTAGATATACTTAATATATTTTAGTGTACATATTTGATGGCCAATACTGTACGATAATTTATATTGGGCCGAGAATAATATTTGGCAAATTTGCCTGTCGAAAGTTAATGAAAAATTTTATATTAGCGATTCTGTACCATGTGCAATTGAGCATGCTCAGATTGAAAAAAATTGCAGATTTTTATATTGGCAATTTCTTCATAGAACCGCCAATCACCAATATTACTTCCTCACTAATAATCACCTTGTACAGTATGCAGTGTATTATTTTCAAATAAAAAATATTTTTAATGTATTTTTAGGCATCCATTGACACTGTCAGTATTACTAGAGGCAAGAGGATATGAGAGTGTTTGTTTTATTACTGACTCAATTTATCATTCAAATCAACCTGGAGAGACCATCAGCTACAATGGAAGACAATGTAAAGAGAGAGAGAGAGAGAGAGAGGGGGAGGGAGGGAGAGGGAGAGAGAGAGAAAGGGAGAGAGAGAGGGAGGGAGGGAGGGAGGGAGAGAGAGAGGGGGAGGGAGGGAGAGAGGGTGAGGGAGGGAGAGAGCTATCATATGATAGGTATTTTTGGAAAATAATGATTTAGTAATAAAGCCAGTTTTTAAATTTATGCCTGTGTGCCATTGAGGCTTGAAATAGTGCATGGGGTTTATTGGCAAAATGGGCTTTTGTCAAATTTGGCGTCTTGATAGTCATTTCCCAAAATAAAAACCTGCCATTTTCAGCAATCACACTCATGCTCAATGGCACGTGGCAACAAATTTGCAAAAGTAAAATTGCCTATTATCAAAATATAGCAATTTGCCAAATTTTAGTCCCTCCAAATTTCCCGCTATATGGTACTTGCCAAATTTAAACCTACATGTAAGCCCTCAAATTTAAACCTACATGTAAGCCCTCAAATTATTATTACTATTTTAAATTCATTTCTCCATTCAGTGATAGTGTCCAGTGATTGTAAGACAATGTTACTTAAAGGGACTAATACACTGGCTGGTAGTTGTGTATCCATGTTGGATATATTTCATAATTTAGTGAATACATTAAATGTACCAATTCCTCAAGCTGTAAGAATGCTAGCAGAAAACCCAGCAAAGTAAGTGTAATTATATTGCATATACATGTACATTGTATCAAGCAAATTATCCATTATTTTTATTAAGTCCATGGTTTTATACAAAAAATGGCTCCAAAATCATACCCAATTTTTATTACATTTTCTGATACATATTGATGTACTTATCCTATGTCCAAAGTTTGAGCTGATTGATTAAAGATACTCTAGCTATCACTCTTGTGACTCTCCTTCTCTCTTTCTCCCTTTCTCTCTCTTCTCATATCTTAGAGTGGCTAGTTTAAAAGGACTTGGCTCCATTGCTATAGACAGCAGAGCTGATATGTTATTATTTGACAAAGATCTCATACTAACTGCAACTATGGTGGCTGGAAATACTGTCTGGAAGAAATGACATTATTTTAATGCATACTGAGCTCACCTTTGAGGCATATTACTTGCTTCATTATGACTATGTGACAATGAAATAAAAAATAGAATTAATATTTATGTGTATGGAGCATTTATGATATAACATATATACATACCCATTGTTTTGTATATTAGTTGTTTACAAAGTTTTAATTTCATTATTTCTCTCTCTTCATTTTTTGTAATGATGAGAGAGAGAGAGAGGGAGGGACATTGAAGGACAGGGAGAGATTCCTTCACAAAATTATAAATATTTGTCTTGTTTTCATGTACTTAAAGTTTATCTAAACACTAAACAATTCACATCTTACTTGCAAAAAATAATGAGACCACCCAATTTTTCTATATCACGTGATCCAGTGAGGGGGGAGCCTAGGCTGCTGTGCATGTGTCTACTGCCTAGCAGTGGCTATGGCATCTAAAAGTAAGTCCTAATGTTATTATTTCAGTATCATGTACTGTCAATCATTGATTATAGATCAACTGGATGAAAGAGCTGCTCACTGCACTGTATCAGTAGATGATTCACTGTATGTGTGGGCTGGTTATCAGGATGGTTTACCTGGAGTACATGATAGTGAAGAGAAGAGAAAGGTCACTAGTAATATACAGCACTTTACTCCTTCATCTGGTCAATGGATCACTAGAAGTACTACTGGTACTCCTCCATTAGGAGTGAGGTCATACTGCTGTACTTCAATAAATGATCAATTGTATTATTTCGGGGGATATTGTGGTCATGACTACTGCTATCACAACAGTATTACACAACTGGATACCGTTAGTCTTCAATGGAGAGAATTAGAACCAACTGATGCAACTAGACCAGTTATGAGGAGAGGTCATGGTGGAATGATATCATTTGAACATGATGGAGTACACCATTTACTAATGATAGGAGGAGGAGGAGGATCTAAACCAGCTGTACAACTACCTCATTATAAATATATTAAAAAATCTAATGGAAACTGGCGTACTAATGAGCACTCAATGTATAATCTATCATCAAGTAAGATTTTATATTACTGTTTGAAATTGTTAAAATAATTTAGGAAAATGGAGTAATCCTTCAATCATTGGTCAGTGTATACCACCTACTTATGGCTTCATCACTGAAAAGATCAACAACACTAGAGCTGTTCTGTTTGGTGGAGCAGAGACTAAAGATGATGATCAAGATAACTTTACTAACAATATTTATATATTAGAGATATCAATCAGCACTGTGGTATGTTAAATTATGTGTACAGACACACACACACACTATAATGTCATTGTTAATGGGTGTGGTTATTTTATTTTTAGTTCTGGCAGTGTATAAAGAAACCTGAAGCAATAGACCAATGGCCTGTGGGCAGAAACCGTCATGCAGGTGCTATTATTATAACTGGATCAGACTGTCCTATGCTAGTGATAAGTGGTGGGTTTGATAAGAATATTGATACATTAGATGATTGTTGGATCTTTAACATCACTCAACATTCCTGGATAAAGGTATGTTAGATATTATTGATAATTGATCTGTACAGTGAGATACATGTAGATTATTAATTTATTTCTATTAACAGTTAGATGTACCTCACTCTGTTAGTAAGAGAAGGTCTCATTCTCTCTCAGTGTTCATTATGAGTCCTCATTGTGTCTGGATAATAACTGCTGGAGGAGCTGTTATGACAGAGACATTAGTCACTAATCCTAACATTGTTATGTTAACTGAACTAGGTCAGTGTAATAGCCACACCCGCCAATGAATACTATTAATTATCTAATTATAATTACCGTATGGAAGGAAATTTTGGAGGTAGTTAAAATTTGGCAAATTTGGCATTTTGATGGCCATTCGCCAAAATAAAAATTCACCATTTTGAGCCATTATGCGCATGCTCAATAGCACATGGCCACAAATTCACCAAATTAAAATTCGCCAATCATCCAAAATTTAGCAATTCACCAAAATTTAGTCCCTCCAAAATTTCCTTCTGTACGGTATTTTCTTTGACATACTCATAAATAATATACTACATGAAAGGGATTGGAAACCACCGGGAAATTTCATGGAATGTAATGCGTTGCCTAGTGATGTATGCAAGTTACCCACGAAATGAGCAAAATGGAGGATCTTCACTGCAGTTTACAGCTTATAATTCATGTCTAGTATGAACTACTGCTACAATTTTAGGACAGACTAAGAGATCAAGGTCTTAGCTATTCATTGATACCTGGTTCGAGAGGACTGCACTTATGGTCTGTATGAAATCCTGTCCTAAAGTGTACCTGTCAAGTTGTCCTAACTGTCAGTTTTGTTTTGTACCTTTTTTCTTTGAGGCTTTTAGTTTAATCTTCCATATAAGTTTATGATCATTTAAGTAGCTACAAAACTGAGGTTAATAGACCCTTTTTAAAGAGAAATATCTCATCACTAAATCCATAGCTAAATGTTGTCTGAAAAAATACTTTTGTTTTGTACCCTTAACTCGATGGCCTCATATAGTTCAGCCTTCAAATTTTTTATACAGATATATGATTCTATTGCGGAGGTTAATAAGATATTTTTACATCTGAATTCTACCATACATATTATGTATAGTTATTTTCTCATTTTCACATATCTATCAGTTTTATATGACTCCAACACTTTTGTAGGTAGTGATTTTCTTAAATGCAAGGAATACTATTTGTAAAAACCATTGAGAAAATAGTCAATAGCAAAGAAGCTATCATATTTCTTTTCTGGTGTTCAGGAAACAGCAGAGAAGTGCCTTCACCAAGACTGCAGAACCTTATTTCAATTTTTCTATGCCATTTTATTCTAATAATCCGTACAATTTAATACAGTATTGACAACTAGCATTTCCTGCCACGAACGGTGGTTTCCAATCCCTTTCATGTAGTATATTATCTATGACATACTTAATGTTGCATTAGATCCACACCCTCTAATTAAAATTATTATTAATATTGTATTTTAGTTACTGACAGTAAAGGAGAGTGGACAGTAGGTGATACATTAGATACCAATGGTATGAATAATGAAGAATACAAGAAGAAGTATCAGCAGCAACTACAGACAGGAAGAAGAATATGGTTGGAGGAGTACCAGAAACCAAGAAAAGGAGATACAGCTGATATTGAGCAAACCGTACAAGCTCTTATGAAGAGTCTTGAAGAGAAGGAGAGAGAAGCACAAGTTTATCATCAACAATTGGAGCAGAAGGAAAGAGAAGAGGCAAAGAAAGATCAAAAAATAAGAAGATATCGTCATCAGCTACAAGAGAAGGATAGGGAGCATCAGGTGGTACTGCAGGAGAATCAGGAGGCACTACAACAGAAGGATAGGAAGCATCAAGTGGTATTACAGGAGCTACAGGAGAAGGATAGGGAGCATCAGGTGGTACTGCAGGAGAAGGATAGGGAGCATCAGGTGGTACTGCAGGAGAAGGATAGGGAGCTACGTCAGTCTCAAGAGGCAGTTCGTAGGTACCAGCAACAAGCACTTACTGATGATCACTGGGTTATTAATAAAGATGAGGTGACTTTGACAAAAGAGGAGTTAGGAAGAGGATCTTATGCTGTCGTTACAGTTGGTATCTTTAGAGGTTTAAGAGTAGCTGTCAAGTCACTTCATACTATCATCATCTCAGATTAATCTACGTCTCTTCTCCAGGGAAATGAGTATAGCATCACGAGTACGTCATCCTAACCTGGTCCAGTTTATTGGTGCAACTAAAGTGGGTAATCCTCTCGTCTTGACTGAGCTGATGAGCACTAGTCTTAATCAGGAGCTTCGCAGAAACCGATTAACTAATCAACAGATTCTGAGTATTG